TTTCTGTCAGGAAAAGGAGAAGGAAATGTGTTCTCCATGTGTTCATAGAGATGGAATGAAAAGAGCAACAACAGTTCCCAGAACATTCAGTAAAAAAGTGGAGAGGCTCTTTAGAAAAATAAAAACTAGAATACATCTCAAACTGATAGTAATGTGATCTACCACAGACTAAACAGCTATAATGCAAAGATGCTACAGAAATAGGGCAACAAGCAGATTAAAAACTTGTTTTCACTATTAGATGAAGGGCATAAATGCTGTTGCTAGCACCCATTTTGCATTTAGATTTTTGGAGCAACATGTTAATATTTCTCACATTGAGGAGAGGAAAAAAAGAAAAAAAATAAAGTTTTTTTTTTTGCTGCAACAGAATTTTTTGTTATTTGTTATTGCTGCAACAGATTTTTTTGTTATTTGTTATTGGTTTGAACACTCTCCAGAGACTGATGAAACCCCAGAAATAGGAAGGCAACTGAATAAAAAGGAAGGTTACTGAAGCTGGAAATGAATTATAGAATTAAAAAAAAAATTGTCTTGAAAGTCTTACAAATCACCCTCAACTCGAATACTTACTGAGRTATCAGATACACATATTATACATATGTATATGTCCTACGTTAGTATAATATGTAGGACATAGTATACTAATACCACATATTACCAAAAGAAAAAAATGAAATGGTTTCCTCGACACTTGATGAACACTGAAAGATAACGCTAGAGGTGAACAGATGAGACCTTTTTCCTTTGTCACAGGGAAGCTTCTCGTGGGCGATGAGCGAGGCCCCCCGCACGCTTTCACAGGCCAGGTGGGTGCCCATGTCTCAGGAATGCACTTGCAGAAGAACAAGCTGCGCCTCTGCTGCAGCCTTATTCCTCCTGCCGGGCCTAACGGAGAGGCTGGAAGGGGCTGGCAGGAGCTGCCTCATCCCTACAGGAGCTACCGGCACTGCTGCCTCCAGCAGCTTAACCACTCCTTTGAGCAGGGAGGAGGATGAGAGGGTGGAATTGGTYGCTTAATTCTACAAGAAGAACCGGGCAACTTGCTACTTCTTCGTTCTTATACACATCAAAATGGGTTTTGTGAGAAGAACAGTATTTCCCGCTTCCACCACTTGAATAGCTACAGCAATTGGCTCCTTCAGGTGCCACCATACGTACGGTACAAGACTTCACTTTGAGAAGTCTTTGAGAAGACCAAAACCTCTGGTATTACTCCTGGCTATGGTTATCTTTTTGAAGCTAGAGATCACCAGCCTTCTGTCTAAACCAGAAAACATGTGAGTTGTCTTTCCATAATTTTGCGTTTTATGAAAGAAAAAAGGGATGACATCCTTTGTTTTCAGCAAATTCAAAAAGTAGAGCTCTCACTTAAAAAATCTTCTCATTTACTCAGCCTTCAAATAACAGTAATGTTGGTCAACTCAGAGTGAAAAGGTCAGTCATTAGTGTCAACCCGAGTTGTCACAAAGCAGGCCTTCAGACATCGAGCAGACAATCAAGCCAAGTGCAACAAATAACTGACAACTGCAAAATTTTGTCTCATTAAAACACCGAGTGAAAGACCCTGGTTCACCGGCAAATTAAACACCCAGTCAGTTTCACTTTTAGAAAAGCTGAGTTGATTCACACAGAGAATCTTGATTTTTTCTGGTTAATAAAATAAAAATCTATTATGCATTTGTTGAGTGCCATCTGAAAACACAAATAGCTCTTTACTGAAAGTGTTTAAATTTAAAAAAAAAAAAAGAAAGATTCAATGTCACCCTAAAATACAGTTAAATAGTTACATTAAATGCATTTGGATTTACCTAGAGCATTACTCTAATGTTTCTAAAAAAAGCGTATCTTTCATTGTTTAATGAATTGTTTAATTTACTGTAATTTAACGTAACTGTTGCAATTTTTACAACTAGAAGGAGCTTCCTAATAACAGTTATCTTCCACACGAGACCAAAAGAAAATACCAAATGTGGATAATAGAAGTACTGCAAGAAGCCGTAACTAGCCAGAGTGCTTGGTTTAATCCTCAGAAAGACAAAGCCACAAAACTAACAACTGGGATGAAAGTTTTTGTTCCGATTCAGGTATCTCACCACACAGCAGCACATTGGAGCTGAGTATCCCCATAAACAGCAAGTCTGAAAGTGTTTGTATTTGCAAGAAGGATCCAAACCGTTAGTAATGAGGAGACAACCTTCCCTCTTTATACTTGATGTCTCAACTGCTATCAATATTGGTAGCTGCCTATTTGAAAATATTTCTAATTATTTTTATTTCTAGTCTTATTCATATCAAGAAGAAAGGACTATAAAGATGACTATGGGACTGCATCATCTATCATGTGATAAAATCCTAGTTCAGAGGGCTGGAACTGCTTAGGCAGGAGACTGAGGGTGAATGATCTCATCAGCATGTAGTTATCTGAAGGGAGGACATAAAAAGGTGGGAGCCAGATTCTTCCCAGTGGTACCCAGAGATAGGGTGAAAGACAACGGGCACAAACAGAAACAGAGGAAACTCCCTCTGAACACAAGGAAAACAAAACAAGAGAACAAATCAAAAAGCCTCTTTCCTGTGAGGAGGACAGAGCACTGGAACCAGCTGCCCAGAAGGGCTGTGTAATCTCCTTCCTTGGAGATCTTCAAAACCCGCCTGGCCATGGTGACCCAGATGGACTATGATCTCCAGACACCCCATCCAACCTCAGACATTCTGAGATGGTGTGAAATCTAGTCAATAAATATTAAGTTAACTATCTAAACCAGTACTAAAACCAACTTGAGCAYTTGGATTTTTGTCCAGAATTGCCAAAATTACAGGGTTCTGAAAGCCTGACCGTCGATCATCTCCAGGATGCTAACATAGGGAGCAAAATCCTACTAAAAAGGAAATTATTAAATGAACATCATTTACCTTCCAAGCTAAATGAAACAGAATTCCCAGTCTAGAAAACAAGTATATGACGTAATATACTTAAAATCAATACTGAAGATGTACGATGTTTCCTACAAAATACCAAAAGATAGAGCTCTACTGTTATTAGARATTTATGTCAAGTTTGGGAAAGTGATTCCAAAGCTCTAAATTCCCAGATCTTTATATTCCCCCTTGCAGTCTACAATTTCCTTCTACAGTCCTTCTTCCAGCCCTATCACAACAAAACATCCAAGTTTTTTCTCTCTAAAATTTTAATTGTAGCCTGAGCCCCAGACAAAGCTGCCAGCCACGGCTCAAACATGGATTTCTCACAGCAAAGTTCTCCGTCCAGCCCCACTCCAGCTTGCCAACACWAAGTCTCCCTTTTGACCCTAACAGCTATCAGTGTGATTTGAATATATGAGCAAAGGCATTAGTGGAAATAAGTATATACACACACAYACACACACATAAAGGTGTGTGTGTGTTTATGTATGTTTGTATATGTAAAAACCTGCACTGTCCCAATATCAGCACCTTCCAAATTAGACCAATGTCAGGACAATATACTTAAAAAAAAGCAAATAAAGCATGTGAAGTGAACACACATTTCTAGCTAATGCAACATACTGGGAGGGAGGAAATGGGAAATCTTCCTGATTCTAAATTACAGTCTGAAGTTCTTGAGCACAGAATTTGACTATAACCATTGATAATGGAGAGCAATAAGCTTCATAGACATTTACATATTTTCACCAAGTCTCAAGGGGAAAGAGGGGGAAAAAAAAAGAAGAGAATCTCAAAATTCTTTGATTTGATATTCATACATAACATCAAAAATGCAGTGTTATAAACCCACATACACATGCTGAGTTTGTTAATTAACGAGATTAATGCAAATCTTGTTTTCAGGGTCATCTTTGCCCCAGCTATCAGCTCACCTGGCAAAATTAAACCACAGATATTTATTCCTCCTATTAGGAAAGTAAGTAGGAATTCAAAGCTGAATTTGCCCTATTGCAGTTTCTAGTCACTGATTTCTGCTACATCTATGACAGGAGAATTCAAAAATATCTTGCCATCTTCAAATATTCAAAAATATCTTGCTATCAGGAAAAAAAAAACAGGAAAAAACAGGAAAAGGAATTAAAGTCCTCTTTCTCTTTTTCAGATCCAAGTAACTAAGTTTAAATACCATGTTAGAAGTGAAATTTAATAAGAGGAAGATGAAGCTAGAAAAAGTAAGAAAAAAGTGGCAATTTTTCAAATGATAATCCTATTAATAATTAAGCTAAAATATCTCCATCTTTACAAATTTCTTCATTGATAGTTTTTCTGTAAGCAGATTGAAACAAATAGCAGACTTGCCTACTATACACAGACTGTTCAATGGTAAGTTGGAGCAAAACAACCATTCCTTCTAAACTTGAGCTATTTTTTGTCATTTTTCATCACACAGAAAATGACAATTATGCCAACACTCAGGTCAACTTAGTTATATATATATATATTTATATATGAGTTAATATTTACATTATTTAAAATTATTTATAATAATCATTCAAATACACTGTGAGTTGCATTTGTCAGAATTAAACTAATTATTCCAATTTAAGTAAGACTGCAGATTAAAAATGAGTTAAAAAAACTTGTTACTTGGGTGCAGTTTTATGAAACTAGGAAGGAGGTATAAAAGACAGTTTTCTCAACACTTTGAACAAAAAAGCATTCACCAGAAATTCTTGCTTTTTTATTGTTAATTCATATCTTGAAATTTCACCAGAAATGAGATAATTCTTTTTGYATCTGAATACAGGAACTTACGTTTTCAAATATCAAATTAACCCTGTAACATCCAATATTTTTTCAACACAGAATTCTCAAGCTGCTTTTTAAGACATTATAAAAATATTACAAAGCTTAAACCTGATTCGAAACAGTATTATCCCTTTTCTATTTTATTCTGAAGACTCGAACAAATCTTCAGATTACTTTATTCAGAATCTTTATTCTGAAGACACAAAAACATCTGATCTCATTTTCGCTTGCGGTAAAGACTAATTACTCAAAAATTTGCTTACTTGCAACTGAACTGAGTTATCCTGGAGACCTTCCACGATAGGAGAGAATCTGTCAACATTTCTTTCTTCTGCTGCTGCTGTTACAGCTTCCAAAATTTTTTCGAGGCTATAAGAAAGCAAAAGGATTTCACTCAGAAATTCAAACATTATTTGTTCCTTTTGGAGAACTTTGAAGACAAAGACTAACTGACTTGATAGAAATGGATAAGATAGTTTAAAATAATGTTTAAAAAAAAAAAGCTGCATGACTGTTTCCGTCTAATTAGTGTATCACCGTATCAAAAAAATTATCAATTGACCATAATAAAAGTCAGCATATAAATGATTTCAAAAACTGACTAAATGATAACAGTATGCTGTATACATATTACTTTCAACTTAAGTTCAAAAATTCAGCATTTCATTTACTTACAGCTTTTGGATATTCAAAAATGACCTTACTATTTCCAGGAGTATACAGCACTTACGTGCTTTCTTCTCCAACAATGCATATTGCAGAAAGAAGTTTAACTATATCCGTCATCATGTTGGTTTGCCTGGGATCAATCGCTTTGGTCAGCAACAAAAGGCTCCTCTCTTCTCCCAGAATTCTTTCCAATCCATACTAAAGAACACAAAAAAAAAACCAAAAAATCAAGGAGGTTGAGAAGGAATCTAACTTCATATATTCAGTGTCCAATTCTCTTCAGTTGGAATTTCAAATGACCTTTAAATTCCTTAAATATTTCTATTATTATTTTTATTGAACAATCTAAATGACATCACTTATTCTGTAGTAAGTGCATACATCAGCAACAAAAAGTTTGCATTACAATCCAACTATATTTTGCAGATAGGGGATCTCAGCAGAAARAAGTTCAAACCAAAGTTGATCAACACACCACTTCCACAAATTGCACAGGCTTACATCCATCCATCGTAAAATGAAGTAACTCAGATTTCCATATTAAAGAAAAACCCCTACCTTATTATTCATGAAGGCCCTCAAACACTGTATAACCTTATGCTGACTCCTCTTCACAGTTTTGTCCTGGCTGAATTGTTTAAAAAATAATAATAATAATTAATTAAATTCTGTTTAAGAATGAATATTAAAAAAAGCTGACAATTCTTACATAAAGTTGTTCTTACTGTTTTGTCTCAACCAGTCTTTCCAAAACATCCAGCAACAGCCCCAGACCTTCCCGGCCAAAGTTTTCAACCCAGCTGGAGAGAGAGAAAAGGTAAAAATAGGTATTTCAAAGACTCATTAAAATAATGAGAATTTTCATCATAGATACAAATTAACATAACTGATCATTTTAAAAGCCCAAATTGACTTTCTATACAACAGAAGAACTTAAGGTGTTTCATTCACTCCTTGACTCAATTAGTTTACCTTAAAATAGACAAAAAAATGTAATGCATTCATTGAAGAGGTTTATTTTAAAATGAACAATTATAAATTCAGATTTTAACAGTATTCAGAAACTTTGCAAAAAATGAATTTGAAACAATCCCTGAAGAAGTAAGAATACAAGTAATCTTTGCAATATGTATTAAGGAGGTTCAAATTCTCATACCTGACAGGATTACTGGTCAAGGACACACGAAGAGATTCTAGGCAAGTGACTAGTCTTTCATCCGTTGATCCAGATTTTAATTCCTGCATAAACTCTTGTGGTGAAATCTTCCTACTTTTCTTGAGGCTCCCCTGAAACACAAAGTACATTTATTTTTGTATTAGTCCTCATAGAGTTTCAACAGCTAAGTGGCTAACCTTCACTCAAGTATTTGTTTTTCATCCCTTCCATGCCTGCTGAATGATGATTAGATTTTTACAAATTTATAGTCCAGCCAGGAGTCAAAAACGTCATTCATCAAACAAAAATGCATCAGGCACACTCACTGAAATAGTGTTCATAAAGAATGCATTCAGTCTCAGCATTGCAAATATCTTAGTTTCCAATAGAAAAAAAAAGAACAACAAAAAAAAATCCACCCAGGATAAATGTCCAGAGGATGTACATATCCATAGAAGACATGGATGGAGGAACCAGATCTCCAGAAGATTAGTCAAGAAATTGCTGCAATAACTTGAATTCTCCCAAATAATATTGATAAACACATTTCTCTTAAAGATCCTGACAGACTGGACTAAAATATAATGGGATTATCAGAATAGAACCGCTTTGGATCTAMGTGCTAAAGCTAATGCTAAAGCTCTGTTAATATGGACATCTTCAGAATCACTGAAGTTCTTCCAACAAAACTTTCACTAACCCTGGTTTTCAGTGTATCCCTCTTTTAAGGTATGGCACCAAAGACAGAATTCTTCTTGCAGTCGGAATTGAAAAACAGAGGAAAATAAGTCTACTTCACCTAATGTCACCAATAATACATGGGAGAACATGTATTTTCCCATAGAGCATACACAAACTCTARAAGGGGCAAAATGAGGCAAAAGGTCAAGCATTTGGTCCAATCATGTTGGAAGGTCTCCCTTTACTAGGTCATGCTAACCAGAGCTCCCAACTTACACCCAGGCAACTGACTGACTCAGARCTGACAGAAACCGAGGGTCAGATCTGAAGCTCTGTGCTGGGAGAGATCCAAAATAGACCTAGAAAGAGCTTGGAAGAACTTTCATTAGCTCGTGATGATCCTGCTCTTGCTTCGATTCCTGTATTAAAGGCTCTCTAGAACCTCCTTCCTGTTCCCAGGACCAGGAGCCACCATCAATTCCACCCCAGATTCAGCCCAGCACTAACACCAGCCACTAACCATAAGGACAGGTATCTCCTCACTTTACTCATACACAAAGATCTCTYCTCTCTCTCACATTCGCACTCTCCCTAGTGCCCTCAGAAACRTCTACCTTTAATCATTCATTCTTGCTGTACATTTCTCCCTCCTGTAACTCCATTTTCTTACAGATTGTAGGAGACCCCTTTGTCAGAGATACAGCATTAAGGAGAGCTCCTTAACAATAGCACTTGATTCTCTACTACCTGAACAGAATTCAGCAGGCACCACATTAACAACTTAAAATTCTCTACTGGCAGTAGTCAGGAAGCCTCGTTAGGTCACTATATACAGCCATACAGTGATTTTTTTTTTTTCTCATTTTGGAAAAGAGGTCCTCAAAAAGTGTGAAAAATGACACTTTCCTCCTCCTGGAGCAGGATASAGTTGCTTCCAGGAGCAAAGCTTAGCTCATAAACAGGCTTTGTATCCTATCCTGCACTGTCATCCACCTCATGGAGACGGCACAGCACCTTGTGTTTCCATCAGACAAGGCTGCTTGGTTCCCCTGCAGTTTGGATATGACTATACGTAGAGAGGAATTGTTTTTAAATCTTCAGAGAGAAAACAAAAATATTAAACTAAAACGTACTGGTAACACTACGAATTACGTAACAGAGACTATGCAATCTTAAAACTAGAAGCTAAAACTGCACAAACCACTTGAAATTAACAGGCAAAGGAGAATCAGTGACAAGGGTCACTACCTGGTTTACATACCGTGCACAGGCAGCACACACCTCCTTGTACAAAAAGCATYTGATCTTAACATGTTCAGAGGTTATGTGTGAATAAATGTCTCGGGAACTACTGGAATGTGGCTAATGGTTTTAACACAAGGAAGGARCAGAAGCCGTGGGGCAGCTGGGCACCAGGGCTGTGCCCATGTGTGACTTGGAGGTGACTCCGCGACTGACCCAGGAGCATTCCTGCTCATCCCTGCACAGGCTGCAGTTAGGGAAGCGACGCCGGCCGCACTGCCCTCGTGCCCCAGCCTTGMAGTGACTGTTGGAGGAGCCCCGCGGGTGGCAGCTCCAGCCAGCCCCAGAAATTCTCCTGGCAGCTCCTGCTGCGCAAAGACTAATTGATAAACTCTCCTTGTGGGTTTAAGTGCAAGGATTAATAGCCCGTGGAAAGAGAAGCTGTCATTTTCAGCAACTTCTCCCAGCAGTTCCTCTTGTAAAACTGTTCAAGCTGTATATGGCTCAAATACCTCTAAATGGTAAGTTACATCTGTCGCTGTTCAAGTAGAAATGGGGAGGGTGATATAAATATGTGCAAGAGATCATTTTAAGAGAGAAGACATTTTTGTAAATAGTTTAAAATAATCAGTAGTAATGGCCTGTGTAGGCACTGTAGTGGTCACAGGACCAGGACCTAGATGGATGACACTTCACATGGGACATTCTGAACTGTCCTTCTTGTGATGCAGGTGAAGACACAGAATCACAGAACGGTTGAGGTTGGAAGGGGCCTCTAGTGCGATCATCCAGTCCAACCCCCCTGTCCCAGCAGGGACACCCAGAGCACGGGGCACAGGGCGGCATCCAGGCGGGTTTGGAAGACCTCCAGAGAAGGAGACTCCATAGCTTCCCTGGGCAGCCTGTTCCAGGGCTCTGTCACCCTCACAGTAAAGAAGTTCCTCCTCACATGGAGGTGTCATCACARGAAATAGAAGCTGGTCTTGAGACTATTTTCTCAAGAGAAATGTTATCAACAGCACCATGATACTAAGGGTCCAGCGTAACATACAGACGCAGCAACTCTGCACAGACATCCATGTCTTATCATCACCTTAACATCCAGCCAAAACAATTCAGCTCTGAAAAGCATGGAAGCTTGGAGCATCAGGAACATACAAACCTTGACATGAGCTGTTGCGTGCTGGGGAACAATAAGTGTGCTATGAGACTTAATAGCCTGAAGTTTCCTGAATTCCAAAGAAAATAACTTAAAAAAAAAAAGGCTAAGAAAATTGGCTAAAGATTTTCTAACCTTCTGGCATCATGGAATTTAAAACTAGAACTTTTATGTCATAAAATGGCTAGCAGCTTTGACAATTTTCTCTTATGTAGAACAATATCCAAGATGTTCTGTCCAGGATTACATAGCCACCTTAATAAAAACACTAGAGCACTGGACTAATAAGATAATTCATTTTAAGTAGATAATTACCTCATTACCTCTTTTGGGGGTATTTGGTAATAATTATATATTGGTTATTCTTAATTACCTTTGCAAGCATGGAGCTGTGAGACACTAATAATCATTTATATGAATTCTAAACTAATCAAACGGTCCAAAAAGAATATAAGCTCTTAGCACAGGCGCTACCCTCCACTTTGCAAGAACTCAGCTTTTTTTAATGCCAACTTAATTCTTAAGCTGATTAAACACAATTCTCCACACCACCCTCTAAGAAAACCAATAAATACACGATTACAAACAATAGTCTAGGTAACGAATGAACCATTGCCATTGCCATGGTCCACATGCAATACTTTGTTAACAACTTGACCATATAAATTCCACATTTAAATATGAAAAAAGATAAGTAATTAGAGAAAAAAAAATGGTACCATAAGAAAAGAGAGGTATCAAAACCACAGAGGTTTCTGAAGTCTTTCTGTCTTCACTGAACACCACCCCTCTAACAAACAATTACTCTGTGTACAGAAGACAGCTTCTGTAAAGGTCATCTTTCACTGCACTTAGTAAAATACAGAAATTTTGCCCTTAAAATCAGTCAAAAATACGCCTGCATCATTTCTCTGTGAGAAGAATAATTTACCTGTTTCAAGTCTTTTTTGTGTACTTTATAGAGATTTACTTACAGACTTTGACGCAGTACTAATATATTGCATCACCATTTCTTTCTTGGTGTTAAAATCCTTTTCTCTCAGTGGTGCCTTCTTGTCTTCATTCAAATTCATATCTTCCTAAAAAGAGGAGAGGGAAAAAAAAAGAAGYTTTAAATATCTCCCAGCGACACTGTTAAGACACCAATTCCAACCTGGATTTTCAGAGCAAAGATTTTAAAAAACAGAACTACTTTAAAAGTAGATTTTTTTTGTTAGTAGTTTTGTTTTCATTCAAAAAGCATTCAATTGCTCGGGTTCATATTTTTGTGCTCTTACTTTACTTTAAAAGTCGAATTTTTTTGTTAGTAAAGTAAGAGCACAAAAATATGAACCCGAGCAATTGAATGCTTTCTTATACAAGCAACTTTTTAGAAATTACATGCTAATTCAAATAATGTTTTTAATAAAATTTTATATATGAGATGGGTGAGYGGGGAAATACCAAAAGCATGAAACATATTTAACACTTCTAGAAATCAAATAAATTTACCCAAATCAGACTCCTTTGAAAGCACTGACAGGATTCTCTCTGCCCTTCCGTCTTCTGCAGGCTAAAGGGTCTCAGGTGCCTCCGCCTCCCTCAGCATAAGAGATTGTCCAGTCCCTTAACCATCATAGTTGGACTTGCTACAGTAGCTCCACATCCCTCTGGTATTAGGGAGCTTAAAACTATTTCCATCACTCCGTGTGTGGCCTCTCTAATGATGAGGGGAGGGGATCACCTTCCTTGACCTGCTCACAACACTCTTCCAAATGCAGCCCAAGATACCACTGGCCTTTTTACTGAAAGAAGGCACATAGTGGACAACTTGCTGCCCAGGATTTGATCATTACATCAGTATCTTCATCTACTGTTGATACTACTGCACTACTCATTGGCATTTCTAATGCAGTGATTTCTAGCTTCCAGCCTGGAAATGCTCTCATCATCAATCAGCCGCATATCCATGAGAAATGGCATCTCCTGTTATACTAGGGGTAAGAAGAGCATCAAAAAGTTCAGATACACACACAGGTATGTGCACACAGACATTATTACAGCCACCCAAGTCTAGCAAGAATTACTGCTGTGAGTTTCAGCTGAGACTCWTATGATGCAGCACCAGCACCAGCAGCTCTCACATGAGCAGTGATGAGAGATCACTGGTAACCACTTCTGTATCAAAGTGTATTCCAGGTAGGCAGAAATCAAAGGTAGCAAATTTACACCTCAAGAATTTTGAGAGAAAATGTCACTTTAGCATAACATTTCAGTGTTTAAGGTTCCTTCTCTTTCACTATTTTATAGTTATTAGTGTAGAATCAAGCACAATTCCAAGAAAAATTTGAAAGTTTTGAATAAACCTGAGCTGTGAGACAACAATACGGAAAATATTTCACCCCATTAAACTCAACTTTTTAAAAATACAGTTAGAGCAATTTTSTGAAGACCCACCAAGGGCTATTGTCTCCTTTTCTGAAGGCCTAGACAAGGTTTCTCGCTTCAGAGTAGTAGGCACTGAAATAAGACCTTCAGTTTTACTTTTAGCACCCACTAGGTGCAGGGTGAGCACTCCAAAAGGTTCCTTCATTCAAGCCACACTAATAATATAGTCTTCTCCTTCCTCAGGAACTGCTTTGCATTTTGCTGTTACTTCCTACAGCTTTCATCAAACGCAAAACAAGCTCACATCAGCACGCTACAACAAAGGAAGCTGCACAGCCTTTAATCTTCTCTCACAGTTGCTCTGGAGTTGAGCAGACTGCCTTCCTTTCATCAGAAATGTCATGAAGAAACAACCTGCTTACACCCCAAAGAAAATTCCAGCAGTCCATAAGGACACACACAAACACACACACCCTGGAATACCTTTTCCTTGTGTTGATGGCCTCATTTATTCCATATAACACAAGTTATGTTAATATCACTGGTTCATTGTTTTTTATTTCCTGATACTATCTTTCCTAGGCAGTTTACTTGATATAAGAATGCCCTCAAGGTTAAATCAAATGTTCTTGAATCTTTTATTTTCTCATCTATCTGTATCTTGAGGAAATAGCTAATAGTTAAGCACTGACATTATCCTTTTGGCAAACAACCCACCAATCAACATGACAACTGCCTTATGCTGCGCTTGCATGTTGCCTTATATTAAACCAAATGTTAGGGACATGGCCTTCACAGGAATACTGCATTTTCTAGTTTTCTTGGAAGAAAAGAAAGCCACAAAGTTAGAATTTATTTAATATTGGGAAACAAGGCATCATCCAAGAACATCCCACTGATACTCTGCATTCACTTGATGGAAAAATTTAGGCTTAAGCACATGCCCATAAGACATAGGTTAGGATCGCAGACTGCACGGAAAGAGCATTTCCTTCCAAGATACACAAAAGGGACGGGAGTGAATCTTTTATTTACACCACACATATCCTGTTTGGGGAAAAAAAAAAGGAAAAAAAGAAAAGATGTTCAAAGTAATTTGAAGTTGATTTGCTCTATCATTACTTTCCAAAGATGCTGATGCTTTAAGATGAGAAAGGACTTGTAAAACAGAAAAACAAGTTCTTCAGTATTTCAGAATCTAAGACCTAGAGTACTCATCTGCTCAACATAAGGGCATGAGTTCAATGTCTTTTAAAAAAGTAATGTCAAAACCTACAAATTTAAGCCAGTTAGACAACAATCTAAGTATTACTTGTGCACTTTTGGAGCTCTTAGCAGTTAATTACTGAAGTAGCCAGGMCTTCTACAACACATCTGTGGCTTCAGACATGAATGGGCATTTTTGAAAGTTAAGATATACAGACTACTATTACAAAAAATAGAGAAGCTGGATTTAGTTGTTTGCAATTTACTTCCTTAAATAGTTTTTAGTGGGAAACTTCTAAAAACAAAATATTCTCATGAAACCAAAAAAGTACTACTACTACTACTACTACTTGAGGCACAAAAAGTGCCTCAAGAGTCTTTTTCATAACCACATAACTGTATGGCACTACTCCAAATGAAAACATACTTGACATGCACATTTAATAATACTAGCTTTATTAAAATTGATATACATATGGTGTTTTAAAAAACAGGACACATTTCCATTAAATATTAACTAATTAGTTCTGTTTGGGAAAACTAGACCTAAAAACTTGGAGCACACAGATTGCTCCACAGCAGAACAAAGCTTAACCAAAGGTTAGAATAATTAGCTATACAATCAGCTGTGACTAAATGCAGCAAAACTACTCTGCAACATTCAAAGACAAAGAATAACCCAAGGAATCCYGTGTGTCACACAATACGGCTAAAATAGTACTGATTTTCTGTGATAAATTACTGCAAGTGCTTTGTTATTAAAGAAAGGAGGAAAGTATTCACTTTACCCCAGATTTCATGATTATTTTAACACAGTTTTGCAAAGATGTTATAGAATTGGAATAAACTACTCAAGAAGCCAAGGGTTTTAACAGTGCTGTTTGCCTAAGCATGCAGTACTGGGGCTTGGARGATTTATTGAACATTTTGAACATTTCAGTTTTTTACAGCATAGTCTTCACATTGCACACTATGCTGTAAAAAAATAGCTGTGGGAGGGTAAAGAAATTTAACTTATGCTGGGAGGCCAGGGAGTAGAGGGAAGGAGGCAACTCAAATGCCCTCCCTGTTTAGTTTGCAGTTGCCAAAAACGTCATCATCATTATCACCATCATCATCATCATCATCATGCCAAGAACTGTGAGCCTACTGGGGCAATACCAGGGCCACATGGTGCTTTAGGAAAGTGCCTGCTCTTTCACCACAGAGCAAYTACTGCAGACAAGGAAGCTTGCCAGCTTTCAAGGCCAAGCTGGCAAGAGGTCACATGTGTTTTAGAGCCCTCCTGCAAACCCTGCTTTAGAGGAAGGAACCTTCAATGCTTCTGTGCCATCAGTTAAACAGAATGTAAGACGAGAGCAAAACCCTGCTGTTACATTTAAGGCATATAACTCGGTAATGAGTTTTACAGACCCTCTTAGAAGTAAGTGAGATTTCCGGTTTCATTGATCCCCTCAAAAATTGTTGCATAACCTCTCTCCTAATATCAGAAATCTTTGATTACCACTTCAAGCATATTTACAGCAAAATGCCTTCTAAATAATCCAAGGGCTTTATCCTTTGAGGAAATGCCTTAGAAAACATACCACATTAATAATGATGATRGAGGGAGGCTCCAAAGGTGTGTGAAAACAAGCTCTATGTATCAATCAGCAGTGCTGAAATGGGCCCTTGGGAATGCGGCAGCAAGTTTCTTACCATCATTTTTTCAAAGAGCGCTGTGATCTCTCTTTCTGACAGGGGCTTGGGCACAAAATCCTCCGCATCCGTCGGTGACGTGGATGACCAGTCGGTAGAGTAAGAGTGTTTCATGTGCGGCAGGGGAGGTCTCTCCTTTTTACTTCCCGGGATCCTTATGCTAGCAAACCTATCCAGCTGCAAACAGAAGAGGTGTGTTATATCACATACTATTTTCATTCTTCACAGTTCGAATTAAAAAGAGGTGTTCTGAGACGCATGACACACTTGTTTTCCCTTGGGTAACTTACCTTACATTTCAATACTTGGTTTTAAAGGGGTTTTCCTCAGGACACACAGAACTGTAAGTTGCCTTAGTACTGCAGTTAACAGACCAAAATACTACGGCGTTTTAGAGAAATCATGCATAACATGAGAATTTTATGGAAGCTTTGGAAGAAAGAGTTATCTACAACACAAATGAATGCTTTGAAGACTTCTCTCTAACCATTATACACAGCATAGACAAAAGCATGGTTTTGAAAAGTAATTCAGAGTTTGAATTCCTTTTTGAATTTTGAAAAGTAATTCAGAGTTTGAAAAGCAATTTTCACCAGTCTGCAACTGCTGGACTCCTGACATTGCAATGAAATATATAGATGCTCCAAAAAGAAGAGTTTTTAATAAAAAATGAGCTACCCTAAATAAGATTTGTCTAATTACTTTGTCTGCACTGTTTTATCAATAACTTTGGTTTTATTTACAAATTAATTTAGGAAAAGCACAAATAAAGTTCAGCTCCTTTGTTAGATCCAAATAGGATACATTTATAATTTCATCAAATAAATCCTTAGGGCTTCTCAACATYAGGGGACAGATACACCAGCTTTACCCTTTGGGAAGTCACAGGAGCTTCTTTGTGAAAGCTTCCTCCCCATCCTACCCCCATTCTTTCTAGTTTGGGGATCAAATGACTTTTTATTGAACACTGACTGGTAACTCATTCCAAAGCAGATTGATGAAGACCAGCAGAACACAAAAACATGGTCAAACCGACGTGGTCAATGAGGTAACTTAGATCTAAGCTACCTTTGTATGTGTTTCCAATAGATGAAAGCAGCAATATTACTACATTTGTCAAAACAGSAGAAAGTTCCAGTAGCACTTGATGCATAAAGGATTTGGGACCTAATTTCAACACTATTGGTGTTCTTACATTTTTGAAGCGCTAAGCAAAAAATATTCTGAGGCTTGCACACATATTGGGAATGAGCCCTTTGAGATACTGCTTAACAAGAACAAAATAAGCATATTAAATGGCAGGTTACCATATCTGACCATATCTGTGGCATTTGATAACAAAAACAAGGTTCAAGTGTTCCACTCCAGTCAAACTGGAATTGACTAATAGACCTATACAAGGAAAGAGAGAGAGTTGTTGTCATTCTGCCTCACTCTCCCCCCTCATCCCCCCAAAAATCTCTAGCTCATCCCATTCACAGAATCACAGAATCACAGAATATTTAAGGTTGGAAGGGACCTCTAGAGATCATCTAGTCCAACCTTCCTGCTCAAGCAGGCACACCTAGAGCATGTGGCACAGGGTGGCATCTAGGTTCAAATCTGAAAAGAGCGTTTTGGGAACATATAATTATTTTGCAAGCCACTCACTCACATACAGGTGATTGCAATACATGCCAAAGCAGAGGGTCAGTGAGTAGACAGCTAACTGAGCTTTAAGAGAGGGTGTCCTACATCCCCAACACATCTTTCCTTAAATATTCCAGCAGCCTCTTTGCAACYCTTGCAGCTCAAGTTTCCCCTCTTCCTTCTCCTACACATTCCTTCTACCTTGATTTACCCCATCATATTCTTAATATTCCCATCTCTCTACAGGACCCTTCCTACATACATATAAATCTCAGTAAGAGACTTAAAGTGAAAAATAGAACAAGACAATTGAGAAGAGATTTCCAAAAGAAACTACAAGTTGCGCTTTGGTCACACTAATGAAAACTGCAAGTTCATGAACACCAGCATGGGGCAGACCCACCACTCACACACAAGAGCTCTCAGATTCGACCTCACTAAAGATGGAAGAGGGAGGGGAAGGCTGCAAGGCTTCTACACGTGGTTGAGGAAGAGCCATCCAGGTATACTTGTTTATTCCATATGTCAGAATGGAACATGATGGGAAGCACATTCTTGATAGAAAAAAAGCATATATTACTTTATCAAAATGTGCTAAAAAGTGTAAATCTTGCGTTCTAAGTTTATAATCACATTGAAAGCATGAAATGAAAGCCTTCACCTCACCCTTCCACATTTTTCTTGCTGACAAGGTGAGCACCGTTAGCCAGATGGTTCACAATGTTACAGAGCACTTTGTTTAGATATAGTGCATCCAAACACACACGCTGTATGGACAGCAAGCCGTTTTTGGCTCCGGCAAGCAGATCCAACCACCTAATCCAGTGGCATAACAGGGGACATGTTGAGACCCTCCCTTGCACGGCCCGTCACAGGRTTCTCATGTTTGAGTAACTGCAAGTTATTGTGCAAGCAGTCAGGCTGCCTCCTCCATTCCCAGGGAAGCAGCAGTAACAGTTCCCTGAAGACAAAAGGAAGCAGACAGGACAGAAACACTCCAATTTGGACAAGAAAAACTCCATGCAACCCCAGAATTCCTCTTTATTCCATTAGAAAGAGTGGCACAGGTTCATGAGCGAGAGCCAGGTTATCATTGAAAAGGGGTATTTTGCTTCYCTTGGCTTGTACACATTTTCAGTTTGTTTGTTTTTCAAGCTCCTGTGAAATACCAAAAGCACGTTTTGCACCATTATGGATTAGGTTACCCCATTGATTGTCAGGAAAGCCACACATGTGGAACCTGCTGACTACTGGTCAGAGGATTCAGTCAAGAGCAAGTCAGGCAGTAATATTAAACACATCTGAATATGCGCCAAAATCTTCATTTTTAATAAGTTAAAAAAATACAATACAAATTAAGAGCTCCTAGATAAGAGAAATTTGTAACATCTGCACAGCAATAGTGTGCATTTCTATACAGATTTCTCCTTTGAATTTCACAGCAATGGCACTTTTAAAAATACAAAGTTAACAGCTCTTGGTGTTCCACATAAGCAAGTGATTTCATGGGTCACAGAAAGCACAATGCAGAAAGAAGTTTCACTGCTTGAATGTAATGAAATTTACTGCTGATGTTGCTGGTGATCCAAGCATGAGGAGGAGGAAATGTCAAAAATAATCTTCCGTGTTACATCAAAAACACCTTAAATCAGGCTAACCAATGGGGAATATCTAGAATTAGCTTTGATACTAAAAGAGGCACTGTAGTTTAAAGGAGGTTTGACCTTCCATCTCTTAAGAGCCTGCCCTGCATTTTCCAATAAATATATTCTTAAAACTGTTTCTGGATGGGTCTGTATAATAATTTTCCTGAAAGCAAAAAAAAAAAAAAATAAAGCTTATGTAAAGCAGACATTTATGTTAACAGGGAAGTGAAGGGAGGGAAAGTGGGGTTTATGACCTTGATAAAGGAACTTCACTATAAAAATGCTTCGCAAGTTCTCTAAACCGAGATCTGTTTTCATGCACTTACAGAGAGAGAGAGAGATGAAGTTCAAGGGCAATAAGGAGGGAGAGAAAAAGTGACCGCAATTAAACGCTTCAGACCACTCAAAGAAGAAAGCTACAACCAACTGAAACAGTTTACAAAAATACTACAGGGAATCTGTGTATTCAGATTCCCAGTATTCAACCCCAAAATTCAGACCATGTGTTCTTATCATCACAGCACTTCAGTGTTTCTGAGGAAAATCTGTTTCAGGTACATATTTTCAAATGCAATAAGCATTAAGTTTAAGCACAAAAAAAAGTAGAATATTCAAATGCTATACACTGCCCTCAAGTTGTACAGATAATCTGGCCATATAGCCATCGAGTAGATGGTATAGTGGTCTAACTTCAAAGATAATTTGATATTAAAAAAATGAATTTAAAGAAAAATAAAACGAAAAAAAAAAGAATTTAAACTTGCTTACATATACTTTAGCTTTAGCTGCCTACTGCCAAAGGCTGGAGCTTTTCTCATTAGTCATGCATTTTGTTCTCTGCGAGACAAATGCCTTAATGCCAGAACTGAAATACAGTGAAAGCACAAACACAGTGGTCAGCATAAACATACATTACTGTGAGGCAGCTTTTAAGTAGCCTTCGCAGTTCCAGCCTTAAGAGCCTCTCCTAGAGYCGTTATGGTGGCCTCTTGGACTGCAATGTTTAAGGCTGTGTTTARGGGAGCATTCCTGCCAGTACTGTGTCATCTCAAGAGTTATTGAGGCTACAACTTCAGGGGCTAAATATGGCCAAGAGGAGTCGCTAAAAGGTTTGTAGAGCACAGGAGCTGCCACGTTGCTGTGCCGGGAGCAGCCACCCTGCGCAGGGAAGCGCYGCCCCCTTCACCTCTCGGGATACGCGAATGGGAGACCAAGTCTGCACATCACTAAGAACAAAACATTGACCAACCGGGCCAAACAGGTGCCAACTGCATGTTTTTATTTGTAGATATAAAAGAAAATATCATAGAATCACAGAATTCTTAMGGTTGGAAGGGATCTTTAGAAAWCATGGTAATTTATTATAAAGTAGTATCACCACAACCATGTTAAAGTCTGATAGGGATTTGATTTATAAATCAGAGTTTGAAAACAGTCATATTAAAGGTATGGTAGGGAGTGAGCAACCAACAAATAGGTTGTATCAACAGTTTGGGTTTAAAAAAAAAAAAATACATCATTCCTATGAAGGACAAGAGGGGAGGAGATGGAATCAAAATTAAATTAAGGAATTTTCCTTCCCCTTACAGAAAAGATGATTTTGCCCAGCAGGACTCATTCATTTCAAGCCAGCCTGGTATGAATATCACACACTGTTTATGTGGGAACAGCATTTTTCCTACTTCAAATAACAGTCCTAGGGCTCCAAGCCTACAAGCTCCTCACTGACACCATTTGTCAATAATGGCATGAAATGCAGATACTGTTAGTCCTGGAAATAAACCAGAAATAAAGCTGGTCAACCTGGGTTGAAAGTGATAAACCATTAGCAGATGGTAACTCTTAAAATAACCTACAATGCAAACAGAAGAAAGCAAAGTTATTTTCTAAGGAGTGCTACTAATGCCTTTGCTTTATGAATGTTCTGGGAATCCACAAATCAGGTACACATTGCTGTAAGACAGGAAGCCAGGCCCTCTCATCATAGATCTCTGAAGTAGAAACTGTCCTGTAACCATGAAACTGTGTGAAAACTACTGCTCRTACTAGGTCACGAGCCTGTTCCAAGCTCTGCAAGGCCTCAGGTCTGGGGCTCATGAAACTTGCTTTATCCAGATCAGCTTTAACCTCTCGGAGCTCTGTTCCGCCTTGTATTATAGCAGCAAACGCTTCATGATCAAGCTACCAGTACCAGATTTGTTTTGCTTAGCCGTACACAATTCTGGGGAGCATTTTTGTTAATAAATAGGTAGTGGTAACAAGCAGCTCACAGAGTTCACAGCGAGGCAACTGTCCCAGACCAGTGAGGTGGTGGTGGTGGTGGTGGTGAATACAAGCGCAGCACGGCAGTGGAAGCTTGGGCAGTTTGGACACTGGCTGAAAACTAACCTTGGGACTAGGAACAACTCATCTTTTACTGTGGTCTTTACATGAAGGAACCTGGGAGTTCAGCAGAGCCATTTTTCAAGCAATAAAGAACATGGAGAACAAGTAGCCGGTATGTTTAGAACATGCCATGTATAACAAATACACACGAGTCACTGAGAGCCAATACATAAAATAACATACACAGCACAGCTGGAACTTGAAACAGCATAGCCCAAGCGGGGCCTGGTATGAGGGTAAATAAGCCATCAGCATGATGTTCCTGGCAGCAGAACTGAGGAGAAATATATATATATATATGTGTGTGTGTGTGTGTGTGTAAAAAAAACCTTACAGATATATATATGTATGTACACACACATACATATATATACATCTGTAAGGTTTTTTTTGTAGCAAAAGTTGCAGCAGCATTTTTCATGAGACTTACACTGAGATTGGGCTACAAATGTTAGTATCAATGCAACTGGACTATTATTTGCTGCATTCCAATTAGATTAATATTTAAATTATTTTTTACTCCACACACAAAGTGCATTTCCAGTTGCCCATATCTGGAGCAAAAGTTTGAGCATAACATCCTGCAGGTCTCCAACATAAAAAGCAACCAGGCATCATGCCCACATGACCATCCAAGAAGAGAATTTTATCTCAAAGGAGATACTAAATGTATCCCAAATTGGGGACCTAATCCAACATCTCATCATTGGCTGGGCAATCTAAATTGTGTTAAATGACAGGTGCTATGAATGTAAGGTACATTTTTAAAAACTTTTATTTAACTGTATTTACTGCTGGGATTGGACCCTCGCATTTGGGAAAAAATAACAGCTGTGCTAGTGAGTARGTACTGTTAAAAAAAGTAAAAGTTAGAGCTGAGTTTATGCAGAATGCGAAAGTTATGTATGAGGGTCTATCTTAACCAAGTGAGATGAGTTCAGAGTTTTTATTGAAAAAGAAAAAAATAAATCACTTGAAGTCGTTAGAGGGAAAAAAATAATAATAATAGCAGCTTCTAGAAGAATTCACAAGATACCTTGGAAAAAAAGTCARTCATTTTCATGCTAAGCAGTAGCACAAGAAAGTAGGAGGAAAGATAAAATTCCTTCCATCACAGTGGTCAATTCCTTGACATGTTTCCTTCCCCGCCTCATCAGAGGAGACACAGGATGCCGTGGTCAGGGCCCAAGCCAACACATGTTCATGGCAGCTGCCCCACAGCAGCTGGGTTTGAGCTTGCTGTGATCGGCTGTGTCATCTCAGCTTTCCAATGGAGCACAAGGAACAAAGGTGCCTGACCACATAAAGTACAGGAGCCAAGTCACGCAGGACCCTCTAACGTGAGGGCTGAGGTGAACAGACAACCTTGAAATGAGCAGAAGCATGAACTACGCTGCTCAGCCCTGGTGAGGCCACATTTCAAGCACAGTGTCCAGTTCTGGGCTCCCCAGTACAAGAGGGATGTGGAGCTGCTGGAGAGACTCCAGTGCAGGGCTACCAGGATGATCAGRGGCCCGGAACATCTGCCCTATGAGCAAAGGCTGAGGGAGCTGGGTCTGTTCAGCCTGGAGAAGAGRAGGCTGAGGGGGGACCTGATCAGYGTSTATAAATACCTCAAGGGAGGCAGTGAGGAGGAGGGCGCCAGCCTCTTTTCAGTGGTGGCCAGCAACAGGACTAGAGGAAACGGCCACAAACTGAAGCACCAAAAGTTCCACAGGAACTTAAGGAAACATTTCTTGACAGTGAGGGTGACAGAGCCCTGGCACAGGCTGCCCAGGGAGGCTGTGGAGCCTCCTTCTCTGGAGATCTTCCAAACCGGCTTTGACGCATCTCTGTGCCCCATGCTCTGGGTGTCCCTGCTGGAGCAGGGGGTTGGACTAGATGATCTCTAGAGGTCCCTTCCAACCTTAAGAATTTTGTGATTCTATGAAACATCTATTTCCTCATATATCTTTCTCCCGCAGCAAAAGCAGATCTGTTTTACAAAGACATTGTAGATTGGAAAGGCAAAAGATTATCCTCTATTCCCATCTGAAGTCCCTGCGCCAACATTCAAGATGTTCCTACGGAAGAGGACAGATCTGAGGCTACAGATCAGAGCCAAGCATCAGTTTGGAGCGGTTTTTTGTTGTTGTTGGGGTTTTTTGTTTGTTTGTTTTTTTGGCCAGATATACAGCAAGGCTTCCATGCCAGACAAGTTTATGGAGTATTTGTTATTGCAGTACATTTATCATTGCACTGCAGAAAAAAATGAGTTGCACAATGCAGCAGAGAGTCAATATGGACATGATTACCCATGAGGGGAAAGAAAATATATCCTTTAATTGAAAGCTACAGAATCAAGTRCTCCTCAACTTCAGCTGCTCGGCCTTCTCTTGCTACAGTTTCCCCACTTGCTGAAAAAGGAATTTGGGGAATATCTTCGCTATTTTTTTCCCAGTTAAAGAGATGACGTGTCAAATATGGGTCCGACTGGAGGCATTTCAAGTTTCCTAGGACTCAGACACCTAGTATTAGCTATTTTCCTAGAACCTGACACAAAATGACAGAAAAAAAAAAAAAAAAAAAATCAGTTGGAAAGCATACTCTTGTTCCAAGGTGAGGCAGAAAATCAACAGAATAAGTCTCCAACTTTAAAACTGTAAGCTGCTGTAATATTTGAGATTTTTCTTTTTTTCCTGTTGTTAAGAAAAACAGCTGTGAAGTAAAATTCTATCAAGGTATTAATAYGGATACTTAGGTATTAATACAGATAGTACTTTTTATCAACATAGAGTTACATGTAAAGGGTCTTTCAGCATGTGGCAAGAAACACGAGTCAAGAAAAAAATACCATATATAGATATTAATCTCATCTTCATTATAAACAAGAATAATTCTTTAAGAATTATAAACTAGTATGTTTATATTAGTTTTTTTAATAAAAGTATAAATTATAATTAACTTGCTGACTTGTAGTGACTATAACTGCAAATTAGACAAGTCCAATAGTCTATGAAGACAAGAGCCACAAGGCAGCAGATTCCCTTCTCCAACAAGGGAACAGGCAAGATCATATTCACCATGTCTATGACCTTTATGTAGTGCTAGCAAAGTTATTAGGCTTTGGTTGCCAAAAAAATAGCTTAGCATTTGAAAAGAACTGAAAATTTTCTCTACTCTCCAGAGCAAGACCTAGGTTTAAGGGATAGAAGTTATATGGCAAACAATTTTATGAATAACTATTTCTAGCGCATGAAATCCCTGTAAATACTGACACACRATTTAACTGCAGCAGTCCAGGAATGATGGGGGAGGTAATAGGCCCTGTGCTTCTACCTTTGCACATCTAGTCAGCAATAACCAGCCTATTGGCTTTGGAGGTTACAAGAAAAAGAAAAAAAATAGAAAACAGTGTTTCCCAGTGCTGAATATCATCTAACAAAGCTCTGCTCTTGGACTGTTACGCACACAAGTATTTAAGCAAGAATACTGTGCAACAAATATACACCCAAGTCATGCCAGCTAAGCCTTACATGCATTCAGAACACCATTTCCTAGGCAACAAGAACACTTTGTAGAATGATCTACTTTAAGAAAAACTTGCCACCAAGCGAATAGAGCAGACAATTAAATTAGGTGTATTTTAGTATTAGGAAAAATCTACTTTGTGATAGAGCACATCTGGTGCCATGAAGAGAAAGATGACATTTGAGGCACACAATGTTAGCACAACACAGTGCATTTAATGCTGTTTGAAGCAACATTAACAAGTTTTACAAGCAACTGTTAGTTTGTTAAATGTGGTGTTTTCAGGTAACCATCCAGTGTTAGTAAGTGTAATACTGCACATGCAAACACAGATAATATCTTAAGCTTCCTGCATGCCACCTGGTACAATTACCTCCACCATACTCATTTAGCCAGGATTACAACATGCTTCAAAGCCATCCACAGTTATGCTGCTACCTGCTCTGAGTATATTACAGKTAATTGGTAAAGTCTCACTAAACTGTTAATTAACTAAGCTAACATCCCAATTAAGACAGTTTCTTGGAGCAACCAGGTTATTTATATCAAGATAGCAGTCAGGTTATTAGCTCAGCAAAGCCAAAGCAAAACTTAAATTGTCTTACCACATCATCTGTCAGTGTCTTGATATTTAAATGCTGTAAATCAAAGAAGAAACCGGTCACGTCACAATTACACAATTAAAAGGGTCAGTTCTAGTTGCAGTTACTTAGAAAGATCAACAGCATTAAATCATGGCATTTGAGGTAATAGTTGCCTTGGCAAACTGTACTATGTTGGCATATAGTTCCCAGCAAGTTATTTTGGAGAATGCTCTATACATTTAAAAATACAGGGATTCAGTCCTTACACAGAGTCATAGCACTCAAGCATAACCTGAAGCAAATTATAAAATATTTATATCTAAGTATATTAGAACATAAGAACAGCCTATAATTCAGCATTTAAAATTACATCTCTCCAGAGCAGTCACTTCCTTGGTGGCACCCRCACAGACAAGAGGTTTTAAGCTGTGACCAAACAGCATGTAACACTTCAGCATTTTGGCTGCCRAACTACAGTAGTCAGGACTTAACTACCCTCAAGATAGGCTGGGGGGCAAGCACAGCAAGCAGATATTAGTAGAGACCTCACACAAGCATTAATTAGTAATAACATCCCAAAAGCTGTAAATTGTTGCTCACTGCTGGGCGAAACAGCAGCTCCTGATGAGTCCTCTTTTCACTGCACACAGGCAAAGATGGCAAGTGCAGGGGCATCCAGATCCCCCGCAAAAACCAAGGGCAGCCCTGAAGAGTCAGAGTTGCAGGGATCCCGCTTAGAGTTTTACATGGAGAGGATGGGAACGGGCTTGGAATGGAAGATGGGGGGCATCTGAAGTCACAGAGCTGGCRAGATGGACTCTTGTTCTGGCCTTTTGCTCCCCTCACTTCACACACTTACAGCCCTGCCCAACACACAAACTCAGTGGCAGCCACAGTGACTGCCAGTGGCTCTACCCAAGCTACCCAGACCTGCCAACTCCAGTCAAGCCTTCACCACATCAACAATACCTCTGCGCAGAACTTTTAAGATGACCACATTCTAGTGGATAAGCACTTGTAGTAAGGTGATAATGATAATAAAACAAAGGACACTTCAATCTGTAGTCAGGARAGCGTCGGTCCCAGTCTTCCCACTGATGTTCCCCCCTGCAGCAACAGAGCTACTTTTGCCCCACACTCGCTGTGAAGCTGCTGTTTTTGCAGCCAATTCTTCTTGTTTTGCAGGTAGCAGCAAAGAGAGCACAAGCACTAACCTTGGCCAGCCACTCACATGGGAGCCCCCAGTTTAGGTGCAGCAAGTTCTCAGCCAAACGCCTCTATGCTGAAGTAATTAAAACAGCAGGAAGCAAACACTAACATCCAGTCTTAAAATGCAACTTTGCAGCAGTAACAAATACTTACTCCTTTTTCATGCTCTCAGCTGGAACACCTAAGCCTTAGGCAATGCACAGGCATCAGTATGAAGCTCACAGCGAGAGAACAAGTAACCCGCTTGGAATGAGAGCCTTGTGCATTACATCTTTTGAGGGGGAATCTGAAAGGAGCTGCCCATCCACATACATCCCACTAAACAGATGTAGGAGCCACAATATTAGTCCAGTGTCATTTAGGAACAGATACTGACTGTTCTGTGATTGTCTAACAGGAAACACCAGAAACACACAGGTTTAACAGGCTATGAGATACACCCAGCACATGGGGCTGCGTTCTCAGGCTCTCCGAGGCTCAACCAAATACTGAGAGAGCGTTTTAGTGCTGCTCAACACAGAGCAGGGGCAACTGGCACAAAACAGAGATGGGCCCACAACACACAACTTCTGTAGCAGCCAGCCCCAGAAAGCAAGGCAAGCACAGCATTACACCATAGCAGACCCTACCGTGCTAGAGACGAGGATGATCTTCGGATTTGAACAGTTTTGTAGCACACAAGTGGATAAACTCAGTCTTGCAGATTCAAATTCCACTTAAACTTTTGTCTTTGTGATTACTTTAGCCAATTCTGGGTAAAGACAACAGTGAAGCAAACTAACAAGAAATCCACTTAAATTGGATCACCAAGACTTCTTTGATGTTCTGTGTGATGACATGTATGTTCCTTTGCACATTAATAAAGTTGTATCTATGTGTAGAAAAAAAATCCAGGAAAACAGTAGCAGAAACCAGAAGAACGCCATCTTCCCAGATCTGTATCTGTGTTTTTTTCCTTCAATACCACAGATGAGTTTGGCCTGGAAAAGATGAACAATATCCTGGAACAGTACAGGGCGTAGTCTAAGACTCTGGGCACTCTTTCAAACCGTTACACTGCACATTTTGCCACCAACTAGGATAACTCCTTTCAGCATCTTATAAGCACTAAGAAACATTACTCATCTGAATTCCTGAATGAAAACAGTTTTGTGCCAAAATTCGGATGGTGCTTGGCAGGGATGGTCATTGTTAGTATGTCATGAAAGGAGAGAAAGTCAGATTTGCAGACATAAATGGAATTAGAGGCCAGACAAGCAGCTAACTGTAGGCCCCTGGCAGTATGACAGTAGCTCTAGGCATGTGAAGCAACAGAAACTCAGTCTGCAAAGCTAGAATTTGAATTTCAGCGTGTGTTCCATCCATCATACTGAAGTACTTAAATAATTCAAGTATACATAAACAATATTTTGGCATCTAAATCCTTCCCCCCCCCCGATAGTCTTCTTTGTTTCCTTGCAAAGGAAAGAAAACCTGCGTGGCTTCTTTGATTAAGAGTAGCTCCGACTCTATAAGAAGCTAGGAGAGGGGAAAAAAAAAGTTAGAGGGGTACTTTTAGAAGGGGTTTAGAGGGGTTTTAGAAATGCTGGCCCACTGAAAGCTGGATTCTGAAACTAAGTAAACCCACACTAAAGATATCCATACAATTACCCAATCCCCTCTGTATTTTTTTTTTAAATGGGGAAAGTGGGGGGATATGACCGGTCACATCCTGCCAGGGATCTATTGCTAAACAGATTCAGCCCTGACTTTTTTTCCCAAAGCCTGTTCTCTAGGTGAAACAAATACAAGGCTGAAGCAAGAACTGCAAGGAAATCTACAGTCTTCGATACAGAGATGTAAATTGGATGATTAGAGTGGATCCTACTACTATAAAAAGAAACTTCCTCACAATGTCAACTTGATAATTTTCTTACCTCGGGTCATAATTGCATTTCAGAAACAGTGATATAATCCAGCACTACTTCATACTTTTGTAATGCACAACTCCAGTGTTTATTTAACAGTCTTTTACAAGCTCACATATACACTTTGTAAACTAGTCYGAAACGCAGGAAGGAGAGAAGTTACTTTGACATAACATTTCCTGCCTAATGATATTCTCTAGGCACTGATGAGTTAAATCCCAAATGGATGCTTACAGGTAAGGTTATATAACAAAGCACTAGAGCACAGTGATTAAATTTAATATTATGACCCAGAATGTTAATTCAAGCCAACAAAGACAACAGCATGAGGACTCATACAATTTTACAAAGCTGCAGTAAAGTGTTTTAGGTAACATCTGTTCAACAATCATTTCTTTAAAAGACTAATTTATATTCAAGGTCTTACACTGCAGTGCAACTCCAACAATAATTCTGTCACTTCATACTTAAAGCCACAGATCCTCCTTACCTTTCTCCTCTATTAATGCTAGTCACACCAAATGCTTTTTCGCTTAACCACATCTTTCTTTGATTTACAATTATTGTGAGAGCAAGGGTTAGTTTTTCTATTTTTTAATAGGTTGGTGCAAACAAAGTCTCTAGATTTATACATATTCGTATGCATATATACATGCATATATAAAAAGAAAGAACTTAATCAAAAATACAATTTGGAAGTCACTGAAGACTAGTCTATGACACAGAAAGTACAAGAAACATTAGGTGAAGTTAGAAAAGTTAGTTAGTTAGTTAGTTGCCTTTTCTGAGGAGTAGCATCTGTAAGATTTAGTCCCAACAAAGCACATATAGAAGTCACCTAATCAAGTAATTTAGCACCCACCCTTATGATTTCCATCCCTTTCAAAGGGGAAAATTAGACACAACATTGAAAGGGGCAAGTAGCTGCTTTTTACTCCCCACCATAAATTTCAAAAGTCTGCTTGCCTATAGTTAAATATATACACAGAAAACAGGCATAATCTCTACCATTCTTTTATTTATTTCCCCTTTTCCCAAGCTCTAACCTTAAAGGTAAAATGTAAGAACTTTGATTAAGTTGAACTACTAGATTACCATATAATATTATGGCCTTTTACTCTTTTAAAGAAGAGTCCCTCTCTTCCAAATCTTAACCCTATTAAACAAAGCCAAACAGATGAGGCTTTAACTGCTTCCAAATTAATAATCGCTCCTTCAGAAGGGCTTTGTTTTAATAATTCTGTAAGAGAACTGAGAGAATGAAGGAATTAGGATTCACACCAGCTTCTAAAAAGCTTAGTTATTCACCAAGGCAGAACTTCAAGAAGTGCTTTGACCAGAATGACAAGCTTTAATTACTGATCACAAACTGTGGTTTCAGCCCAAGATGAAAGTGGTAACAGCAAGGGGGTTTTCCTATTGCCATTTTCTTTGGAAAAGATCAAATGTATTTAAACACGTAGAGTTTGGCAACATGTTGTCCTGAACTGAGGGAAAAAAACTGTTACCCCTGCTTATCAAGTTTTGGAAGAGAGATGATCACATACATTAAATGTCCAAGTAGATGGAACCAGACACCTGCTCAAGTAACCTGAGCAGCTACTACATGAAGGAGATTGCAGGAACCAGGAACATCAGGAGCAAATTGGGGCCTTCCTGAGTAGTTTGCCCACCGCACAGTTCGGTATCGCTATCAGTTGACATCAACACCCCGTGATGCACACAGGCCCTTTCGGACCACGCTCTCCCCTGGTGGATCCTGCAGGCCACAGGCAGTGCCAGGAGGCCTCAGAATCCAGAATCCWGCACACATGCCGCATCACAGCCGCTCTTCCCAAGTGCACGGCGCTGGGGAGGGGGGTTGCAGTCCATCTCACACCTACCTTGCCCTGTCAGCAACTGGCAGCACTTTGGAGCTTCTCACTCCCTACTTTGCTTTGGAAAAATGGCATGGTGGAGACCTCTGCCCTTCCCCTAAGGGCTGAGGCTTCTTTTTCACCAAAACATATATACATATATACATATATACATATATACATATATATGTGTATATATATGCATATATATACACATATATAAATGTAAAATATACTAAAATGCATATATATATATGTTTCCGATTATCCAAACACAACTTACACCACCAAACCCACCTTTTCCCCACCCCTTTAGAGCCGAGGGCCTAGAGGCGGGAGAGGCGCCGCGGGGGGGTGACCCGTACTCACAAATTTGGGTTTCCTGCCGTCCACCGCCTCCTCGCCGGCGCCCGCGGCCCCGGACGGGCCCTTGCGCCGCGGCCCGTGGTTGTGGCGCCCGCCGCGGCCCGGCGGCGCCTCCATGGCAGCTCCGATTAGAGCGGCTTAGCCGGGCCCGCCCGCGCAGGGGAGGACAGGACAGGCCAGGCCAGGCCAGGGGRGATAAAGCCGCCGCGCCGAGGGATTTAGCACCGCTAATCCCGGCGCGGCCGCCGCTCGCTCCCGGCTGCCCCTGAACGAGGAGCCGCCGCCTTCAGGGCCCAGGGCGGGAAGTGGGAGCAGGAAAGGGCCCGCGCGCTACCAACGGCCGCTACCCCACGCCCGGTAACGTGCCGCCGTTCCGAATCCTCCCGCCACTGCCCGTCCCGCCCCCGGGCCCCGCGCCARCCAATCCGAGGCTGCAGGCTGCCGGCGCCCTTTCTCCCCATTGGCTCCTTCTCCCGCCAATCTGCAGTGAATCAGCTGTTCACGGAGGCACTCCTGCAAGGAGTGACTGCTCTAAAGCGACGTCGCCTCCCCGGACTACATGTCCCAGAGGGCAGTGCGGCGCTGGCCCCGCGGAGCGCGGCCGCCGTTGCATGCCGGGAGTTGTAGTCCCGAGCTGCCGGGCGGGAAGCTGCGGCCCCGTGCTGGTCCGAGAAGGGCAACACTGTTTTTACTAAAAATTCCACCTTTAAACATGGTTCCAGTGTTTGTGTGACCTCTTTAACTTATTATTATTTCAGGAACTGTCCCCTTAGGCCACTTTGCTAGTCCAAGAGTGAAGATAGACATAAGAAAGATAAAACCTGCTTAAATTCCTGTCAAAACGGCATTTTTTGCCATTGATTTCTGGTGGATGAAGTCTTTATTGAGGGCTAATAGCAATATTAGCAGGTCAGAAGAAGATAGGTAGGTACGCTTATGTTCTGAATTTATTTACTTCAATTAGCTGTTTTCAGTAACAGAAAGAACAGCAAAAATTTACATTTTACAAGGAAATGCCCAAAGAGTGTATACTTTAGAAATCATTGAATTCTCAGCAATGTGATTGATATCAAGCATTTATCTTCAATTAACAGTAGATGTAATGATAATGAAAATTGAAGACATCTTTAGAGGGAAATTTATTGCCAATTCTCAATGTTTCACATCTGAAAACAACTTCATAAAATAGCACAAGTTTTCCATTTTCCTACTGTCATTCAATAAAAAGGTGCCTAGATTTCCTTGTTATTTTTATCTTTTTGTTTATCTTGAATGCAGCAAAAATAATACTGATCAAAAAAAATGCAATTACTTTTTTTTTTTTACCTAATTCAGGTGGTTTCCATTACACTTTGGTGCCACGGAGAGATTACAAATCTCAGTCTTTCAGCGTGACTTATACAGGCATTTTCCTTCAAAATGTAATGGCTACAATTATGTGGACAAGTACCAGAGAATTCAGCCCCTAATTCGACCTTAGTGGTACCAATGGCCCCAATTGGGAGGTAAGGGTTTATTTAGAAAGGAAGATGCTAGAATTATTTTTATGGATCCAAGCATTTGTTCTTTGGCACGTTTTCTATAGATTCTTTTTATTGTAAATTTATATTGGAATCCTTCATGGAGAGTGTAATTAACATAACACTGTTTAACGTCATGGTTAATGATTTCCTGGAACATTTGATTAGAAAATTAATCAGCCTATGTATGTGTATGATAAAGCTGTTTAAATGGACCTCCTAATTGCACTGTTGTAAAATGCAATGGCTTGTGCCAATACATCAAAGCACTGCACTGCAATAACTGAGAAACACTAAACAGAATAATTTATTTTAAAAATTTATTAAGCCAAAAATAATTGTTAGTGCTTTTGGTCAGTTTATTTTTTACTATCCTTCTTGTACTTGTCAGGTGTTCCACAGAAGAAATATATTCTTTCCTACAGCTACCCAACCACTTAGTTGGTCAAGATTAATAATGGACAAGGACAAAGAGTGTGAAATATTGGTATTTATAATAATTTTGGAGAGATTACCATAGCATGTGTATTGTCTGGATGTGCATATAGCCTTACAGCTTTTTTTTTTTTTTTTTTCTGGAACGAGTGTTTCTCAGTTATAAAAATGGCAAAGCAAATGCATGAAGATAAACATGGGGATTTTTGCAAAATTGGGCTCTTGGTCTGGATTTAASTAGACTCTCCCAACTCTACTTCCAGTCTCCTATATATACATATCTGTGTATATATGTATATATTTGCTGACTCAGGTCTAATGAATGGACTAAATGAATACCCTCAGGATGTTCATTGTCCCTAGAAGGTAGCTTTTCAAACAAATTCTTGAGCGTAGCACGTGGAGTCTGGCTTTTGACAGTTTAGGCAGCACTCCATATTTCACTCAGAGATGACTAGTTCTCCACTATTGGAGGAAGATAAAGCAGTTAATTAACTGTTCTTTAATTAGATTCATCCTCCTAAGCTGTCACATAAAAGTTATGAAAGATTTTGTGAGCAATCTTGTTGTTTTTATAGAGCGAGCATGCAAACTTAATGCTCTTTATTGCTAACGTGACTTAATATGCTGACAAGCAGAGGCTTCCAGAGCCACAGCTCCTCTGGCTTAGCAGAAGAAACTTGAATAAGAGAGATGTCTTTTCAGAAAAATGGCTGCTCATTTCCCTAAGGAAAAACATCAATCTRGTTCTTCTATCCCAAATCCAGCAAAATTGCATAGATATTTGTGATTCGTATCCATTTAATATTTATCTGACATCAATCTTTACATATATCACCCTCTGTRCTATATTTCCAAACTCATAAAGTTAATAAAAAAAAAAAAGTTGGAAAAAAATATAGCTTGTTTTCATGTCTTACAGGCCAACTGAGCATTATTTTTTTTTCCTACTAGRTGTGTATTATCTAACACATAACACAAATAACTTCTGTAATTATTCCATTAAAAGAGTCCACATGCTCTTTATTCAAATAAAATAAACCATTCTTTACTTGCACAGAAGATGCAAACTCTTGTGTCTACTACAGAAAATAACAAAAAATTACCTAGGTGTTTCAAAATTCTATCAACTTCTGCTTGCACCAGCTACTGTGCAACTAGTAGCACACTAGTAGCAACTAGTGCTAGAATTACTGGCATCGTCCAACCTCATAGACTTTGGTATTTCAGTACTGAATATATAAAGACCTATGTCCTCTATAACCACAACTTTTCCTTAGGTCACTGAGAAAGCATCATTGTTTGATAAAAGATCGGTCCTCGTCTTCAGGTGCAGGTTGTGCTTTAAAACTGCTGCTACATTAGTGCTGCCTCCATTCTGGCATATCTTTTCAACTCTGTAAGGAACACTCAGCATTTAAATAGTCTGCCAGTAATAATTTTTAGTGAATTCAATGTCTCTGTCATGCCCCAAAACCATTACCACTGATTTTATTGTCATGCACATATTAATTGTAAAGCTAGAATGATATTTTACTGAAATAAATATGATGTCATGACAGGTTCATTTAAGTGTTACCTAAATTCTTTCTGTTATCTAAGTAACCCTACAGGTTGCAATTTCATATTGCAAAGGCAGTCATTAATAATTTAAATGAACTACAAAACAATATCCTTCAACACAACCTGTGGAGAAGATGTTACTTAATTTTCACAGCGTGGGAAGGTTGAGAGACCTATTATTCCATTATTAAGATGATTGTGCATAAAAACTGAAATTGTTTCTGTGTTAAATTCATTAAGGAACTTGGAAGTTAACAAGTTTATCATATTAATAATTGAACAAATTAAGTTATGAGAAAGTTCATACTGTGCTCAAAGAATAAAATTATATTGAAAAAATTCACTGTAGTCTGTATTCCTACAAAACAAAGTGCTAGAACTGTGGTTTGGACACACTTGACAGATTTTGTCAGTGCTAGAAGGCCACAATTATCCGTCACAAAATGTAAGGAGCTGCCTAGTAAGGCACTAGACTGGAGTTTTTAGACTGGAGCATCTGTCCTATAAGCGCTGAGTGTGTTCAGCCTAAACATAATATATACATATATATATATATATATATAAAACTGATAATCAGATTTATTTCAATTCATTTCTACTACCAATAGAAATATATTTGTAAACAGAGAAGTACTGACAACTTTGATTCTTTATTGTTAGGCATCCTGGGCAGTCACCTCTCTGCTATGGTAAGTATCATTGTTAAGTTCCAAGGCAGCATCTGTCTTAAACCTGTTCTAAAAGAAAAAAAACAACAAGTTTTTAGAGAAACTCAAAAGCATCAAGGCTATTATTCAGTTATTCATGACAGACATCTAGAAAAGATGTAATTAGATGACAACATGAAATGAAGCTTTCACTGAGATTGCCTTTAAAATACTTTCTTTAAAAAAATAGTTTTTATTATTACATGAGAGTTGTCACTGGAGAAAACAACAGAGCCAGTGTTTGCTGCAGATTCTGCTGGTATGGCTGTCTTTACTCCAGAACGTAAAGAYGAGGAAGGCATCCCTGAAGACAGCATTTGTCATCATCCTGCTCTTGTTTTTATACAAAAAATTCAAKAAGTCATAGCTTTTTGAAATGTGAGACAAAATTTTACATACAATAGGTAACTGAAAATGAAAGTCCACACCTATATCCCCCAATTTAATCACTCCCTTTTCTAMCTAGAGTTCAAATGAAGGACTATCRGAAACAGTTGTTGTCTGGATAGCACTGTTCTCCTTTTTAAAGTTTTCAAAGTCAACCTATTAAAAATGAGAATATGAGAAGCGGAAAATTGAGTTTGCTTCGTTAATTTATTATAGGTTACATGTTGTTAATAACTTGTCGCAAAATACTTCAGGATAGCCTCTCTTTTGGTTGGGGTAAATTTACTGTACTTTTTCAAGATACTGCCTAGATAGAAAAAAAATAGTAAAGTATTCCATTATACAGTACATCAAAAGGCACTTTATGAGGACACTGGAGGTGTGATTTGTGGCACTATTTAGGATACACTTCCATACTATATTATTATAAAGTTCAGATTTGTAATTTAATTATAGACCAAATTATCTGCACTTCTAGCTCCAGTAGAAGTGACTAGTCCAAGTC